TATTTGACCATATCATATATCTATCATTAATATAATATAAGTTATTTATCAATAATAGATGTCTATCCCATAGTCTATTAGATACCACTCTATCACTAGTACGCTAATAAACCCAAATAAAAACTCAAATGAATAATATATGAGAGCAAGAAAATGAGTTATATAAAATATCTAAATAGGCATGCGAAAATTTAAAAAAATATGTTTACAAAATTATTATCATATTACTATATTTTGCAAATTACCACCATTGAATTTTTAAAATATTTTTATACACCATGGATTCATTATATTTTCTTTTTAAAAATTTACATTTAAAAAACTACTAAAGTTTTTAGTATAAAAACACTACTCTAAATTGAAAATTAAAAATTACTGAATTAATAGAGCAACATTTTCATTATTTTAACTAAATTTGGAACACACTAACACAACTAAAATATTTCACAACTAAATTCAAGTAAATTAGATAAAACTAGGTTGGATATATAAAAAGACCCTTTCAACTCAACCGAATAACCTAAGCATTCTCCTGAAAAATATCATCGAATTTTGCACGGAAAATCAAGTGGATAACATAAAACGACCGATCGCCGAATCAGTGGCACAAATTCGAGTTCCGTAGGTCCCAATAAAAATATCTTCCACCGGGGCGTGTTAAAACCACTTTTCAAGCCACCGAGGCATTGATCGACACGTGTCCACTATTGATAAGGGCACTATCTGTTCCTCCTCTTTCCACACCCCACGTAACGGTTCCCTTCTTTCCCTCGAAGGTCCCAGCCACAATCTTCTACCTGCCACCACACCTACTGCCCCGCTTTGACTCAGTAAAATTCCACAAAACTCACCCAAGTAGCACACGTGGCAAGTTCCAAGATCCGGTTGCATGAAGACAAACCTGAGCCCGCCGCAGCGGATAATTTCTAAGTATCTTCACGGAAATATCAGCGGTACTGCAAAGTCTGCAACTGCAAACTGCCATTCTCGAAGCTCGTGTTCGGGCCGCGCCCGGCGGAAGAATCCAGATTGGATCCGTACAAATGGCGTTACCGTTCGACACTGCTACGACGTCGTCGAGGGAGGACCTGTGGAAGAGAGCTCGGAAACCGTATACCATCACCAAGTGCAGAGAGAGCTGGACCGAACCACAGCACGATAAGTTCCTCGAAGCTATTCAGCTGTATGATCTTCTCTCTCTTCTCTTTCTTTTCGATCTTATATGTTCTTCTGATTTCCTCTCTTTTTTATTTGGTGCGATTTGAATTTTTGTAAGAGAATAAGAGTTTGTGACTCTGTATGAGGATTATGTGTGCTTATGTTCTGCGTCATCTTTGATTTAAGGTTTCCTGAATCGATGATCGGATTGTTTTTTTAAAGAGATTTTGGAGTATCTGAATCTTTGTCGAAGTATATAGTTTGATTATTTGGAGTATTATGGGGAAGGAAATGAGGCAAAGCATCTTAACTGATATTTTGTGTTTGCTTGAGCTCAAGTCAATTTCCTTGTGCATTTTCTGATCCTGATTCTATTTTTCAGCTTTGATCGTGACTGGAAGAAGATTGAAGCTTTTGTTGGATCGAAGACTGTCATACAGGTAATGTAAGAGGCTTGTCTCACGTCCCGCTTTTTACTTTTACGAATTAGAGGAACAAATCTGGAAATGTTTTCATTCTTCTATCTTTAATTATTGAGAAAAAACTGTGTTTCGTAACATTCCATCTTTCTGGTCTTTTTGTCTTTCTCTAGTGTTTCTAAGATGATGGATAAGTCCTGGAAATTGGAACCTTAGTACGTTTTTATGAGTATAGAATCTAATGCGAAATATTATGGAAGTTTAAAGATTATGAAATAAGTTTATATATGTTGTTATTTTTGGTTAAACACATCAATTTCAACGCTTATGTTATTCTCAATTCTAGAAACGAAAGTAAAAGTGATAAAGTTACTGTTTCCTGTTTCTGAGCTTTGAGTAGTAAATAAGAAAACTTTGTAGTTTTTCCAGAAAAGAAGTACAGGGAACTGAAAAAGCTTAATGAATTTTAGTCTTTAACTTACACTTTTGTTGCTTCATTTTACCGTATTCTGCTCTCATCGCTTGTTATATGAATATGAATACTTTTTTGCTGCTGCTTTCTTGATATTTTTTCTTCTTGGTTTACCCCCGAATGAATTAAGTTATTTAATGACACAAGTTAGGTAGCCTTTCTGCTGATTATTTCCCTTTGTATTCCAAACTCCATAATCTTCATTCAAGATGTATTACTCTATCTAATTTTCCCTTCAAATTAGTTTAATTCATATTCTGCACTCTATTCATTTTTAGTGCTAAAGAGAATTGTATAGCTTGAAGATTCTTGAGTGCTTCAAGCTTTTGTTCTTCTTTCACTCTGAGGTAGATGATTTTTGTCAGATACGTAGTCATGCACAGAAGTATTTCCTGAAGGTTGAGAAGAGTGGGACAGGCGAACACTTACCTCCTCCACGACCAAAGAGGAAAGCTGCTCATCCATATCCTCAAAAAGCTTCAAAAAATGGTCAGTGCTAGTGCTAGTGCAAGTTCAATTTTAATTTTTTTCTGTTGACAGCATAATATTAACGATGCTTTCTTACAATGCCAACCCATTTTGGTCTCAGCTCTTGCACTAGTCTCAGGGTCATTTCAGTCATCTTCTGTTGAACCAAAATATATTTTAAAGCCAGATTCCTCTTCAGTTCCTGCGAGTTTCATTTCTGCTGCTGCCATGTCTTCCAGGGCGGATAACTCTATCCAAACAGTCAATTTCTCTCAAGGTGCAAGAGGTTTGAATTCTGATACCGCAATTGAGAGTCTAGACATGATCTTGCATTTAGTTTTCCTCTTCATGATTTTGTTTGCAACGGGGAGGGGTTGGCAATTTTAGTACTTGTTAATTAATAAACTTTTTCAATTTTGTTGTGGATGCTTTGATTGCGTTTAGATGTTTACTTTCTATTTCGTGCTTTCAGGGCAAATTACAGATAACAATTGTTGCAGTAGCACAGAGCGCATTCCAAGAGCAAGCTTTCCAACTAAATCAATCATTGAGGAACAAAACAACCATCAGCTGAGAGGTGAAGCTAGAAGCTTTGATATACTATTACCTGTGATATATTTCTGTATAGTATATTTCATACTTTTTTCCTTCTGGCTCGAATTCTCCATCAAAAAATTTGTCTATAAAAGTTCAGGTAGAAACACACTCCAACAAGTAGTAGAAGAGTAACAATGACAAACTCTTACAGAACAAAAGCTCCAACTCAAAGCAAAAAAACTGTAATATACCAAGTCTCCAGAGGATCCCTACAAACATTTTGGAACAACATCCTATTCCTTTCTAGCCAATGTTACAAAAGCAGCTTTAAATATAATTTAACCAAGAAATATTATCTATCTTTCTGAACTTAAGCCACATAAAAGGGCCAACATCAACTCTTTCTCCGAGCTAGGAAAAAAACCAACTCCAAAGATCTGAAAGAGGTCCCACCAGAATATTTAAAGAACTATTAGAAGTACAGTCACTAACGAACTATTTTAGGACAACATTCTGCAGAGGACATCAGTTTAGTTGAAGAGGAAAATTAGTGCTAATACTTATACTTCCAAGAAATATTAACCAAAGGACTACCTTGACTTTGTTACTGTACTATTTCTCCAAAGATTTTTTTTTTATATATTTGATTTAGAAATGGTCCTCAGTTTCTGTCTAACTACATTCTGAGGACCGGTTTACACTCTTTATACACATTGGTCACAGGGTAAATTTGTTGTTTGGACGTACATTTGGAGATGGACCAAATTAATTATTGCAACCATTAATCGTTTGACTTCTTGATTCTGTACTCTTATTTAAATACTAATAAGCTGAATGTTTCTTATCCAAAAAAAAAAAAAAATCTTGTGGCCGATAGACAATTCAAACTGTAATTTTAACTGTTTCGAAGCATTTGTACATCGTCGGAAGAGACCCCATATCTGCAAGTGGACAAGCATAGATAAATTATTTCTAAGCTGAATTAGCAGGTGGGATGTCCTTACTGGCATTTACAAATCCCAGTTACTTCAATTGATACAGTAAATCCAAAGAAAATTATCCTCAAGATAGTTCTTCTTCCATTAAATATTACTATGTCTCTTTTGATGTTCTGTTAAATTTTCCATACAATGCAGTACTGCCAGATTTTGGTCAAGTGTACAACTTTATTGGCAGTGTGTTCGACCCAGAAGCTACAGATCATCTGCAGAGGCTAAAGAAGATGGACCCTATAGACGTCGAAACTGTATGTTTTTGTTCTTCATTTCATTGATTCTACCATGAAATACTACCGATTGGCTCTACCACACCTTTTGGTAGAGCTTTACCTCCATCTAAAATTTTGGTCAGCAGCCTCTTTACTAGCTTAGTACTTCACCTACCATCTCGAATGTTCCTCCTGGCATCGTATATAAATCATGTCATATGCTTAATAACTTTGAATATCTAATATTCTTGTCCCCTCTCTAGGTGCTGTTGCTGATGAGAAACCTGTCCATTAATCTGGCCAGCCCCGACTTTGAGGACCATGTAAGCATTTGCACTTCCTTTTCAATAATGAAATTCCACTTTTTCAAACAGTTTCCGGGGCAAAAACAGGGCTTTTTGGAAGATTTAGTGTTATTTAAACATTTTTTTGTTTTTTTTTTGTTTTTTGGGAAGGGATAGTTTCAGAACTATTGGGTAACTTTTTGTCTTTTTCAAACGTGTCTCTTAGACGCATTTGACCACCACGTTGTTGGGGCTGACTTGGTGAATGCGTCTCTTGCCTAAGGACAAAAATCGACCTGTTTTTCCAAAGAATTTCATTACACAGTTTTTCTAATTGATGGTTGTTGAAACACGAATGTATAATAACATTCCTGAATTTGTCTCCATGATCAATTGTGCTTTTGCGCTATTATTTTGGATCCTTCTATTTTACTTATTAGTCTCCATCTTCAAACATAAAAGCAAGAGACGACCAATGGAAATTTGCCATTTTCATCTTTGTTTGTTTTGATGACATGTTTCTTGCAGAAAAAGGTACTCTCGTCTTACGATGTCTTCATGGAACATGGTTAGTAATTAAAATGCAGGAGGAGAATTCCGCTGTTGGAGATGAAAATGGCAGCTGTTAGTTCACCGAATTGTACGTGATAGAGCCATAATGCAACTGCACTTAGAAGATCAGTATTGTATTGCGGCTGTACATTCGCCAAATCGCCAACTATCACTACTAGAGCCCAGAGGGATAATAGTCTTTATATTCCCTGCTACTGGCTCTGAGCATATGATGTATAGTTCTAAGTTTTGACATCAACATTATGAAGTTCTAATAATAGGAGAGAATCATTTTCCCCGCTGTTCAGTAAATTAGAATTACCACTTGTAGAAGAAGTTAGCACACGAAGAAATAAACTTTTATTAGTTGCCATTTGTAGACGAAATGAGCATACAAAGAAATAAACTTTTATTAGGAAAACATACCAATGGTCAAAGATTTTTAGAGCATTTTTCTATAAATATCCCTTATGTGAAAAAAAAAAAAAAAGATTGTTCTAGATTTCTCAAATATTTTTAGAGCATTTTTCTATAAATAAATATTTACGATCTTCAATTACAATCTAAAAACTAGTAAATGTACTAGTTATTTATTACATTTATGTGTTTTAATTTGGGTTGTATTTTAACCCTGAATGTGGTACTTTAGATAAGAATCAGAACTTTGAGAAAATTTACGAAAATTTTAAAAAATTGCGAATCTTTCTATGAAATTTCAAAGTCTATCCTTAAAACTAACTTACGTGAACACAAGGAAGAAGATGGATACAGAAGATGACCAACAAAAGGAGAGCACCCGTTTATACATTGAAGTATCACACTCGCATTTGTTCATTGAATACAAAAGAGAATGTAGAACAGGAAGAGGAACCAAAACCGACATTGACGCTAATCAATCAATGACTCGACACAGACACACACTTCCACAGACGTCTCAATATCAACACAATGAACCGTCGTTACACAAATTGGAAGCTGAAGATTAAGAAGAGAAGCAGAGTTTAGTCGACTTCTTCCATTTTGCTCTCTTCAGCGCCGACTTCCTCCAAAGCAGGCATGTCCGCATCATCTCCTCCATCTTCCTCCTCCTCGTCGATGCTCAGACCAAGCTTCAGCATTCTGTGGATTCGAGATGCGAACGTATTGGGATCATCGAGGCTGAAACCAGAAGTCAACAGAGCAGTTTCGAAGAGAAGCATGACCAAATCCTTGACAGATTTGTCATTTTTATCTGCCTCGGCTCTTTTTCTCAGCTCCTCCATGATTCCATTATCTGGGTTGATCTCCATTGTCTTCTTGCTCGACATGTAAGCCCCCATGCTGTTGTCTCTCAGAGCTTGGGCCTTCATGATTCTCTCCATGTTCGCCGTCCAGCCGTATTCTCCGGTGACCAAACAGCAAGGGGAGTCCACAATTCTGTCGGAGACGATGACCTTCTCTACTTTGTCCCCCAGAATGTCCTTGATGGTCTTGCATAGACTCTCAAATGACTTCTTCTTTTCCTCCTTTTTCTTCTTCTCTTCCTCTGTCTCGTCATCAAGTTTCAGCCCTTCCTTGGTGGCAGAGACCAGCTTCTTGCCCTCGTACTCTTTCAGTTGCCCAATGGCGTACTCATCAATGGCGTCCACCATGAAAAGCACCTCGTAGCCTTTCTTCTTCAGGCGTTCTAAGAAGGGGGAATTCTCCACTGCCTTTTTGCTCTCACCAGTGATGTAGTAAATGTCCTTCTGACCTTCCTTCATCCTGGTGACGTAATCTTTCAAGCTCGTCATTTCGTCTCCGCTCTTTGTGGAGTGGTATCGCAGCAAGTCTGCCAATTTGGCTCTGTTCTGGCTGTCTTCGTGGATACCCAATTTCAAGTTCTTAGAGAAAGATTCGTAGAATTTGTTGTAGTCCTCTTTGTTCTCTGCGATCTCATTGAACATCTCAATGCACTTTTTGACCAAGTTCTTCCTTATCACCTTCAGAATCTTGTTCTGCTGCAGCATCTCACGTGAGATGTTGAGTGGCAAATCATCGGAATCCACCACACCTTTCACGAAACCCAGGTACTCCGGAATCAGCTCCTCGCAGTTGTCCATGATGAACACTCTTCTGACATAGAGCTTGATGTTATTCATCTTCTTGCGGCTGTCAAAAAGATCAAATGGAGCCCTCTTCGGAACAAAGAGAATTGCCTTGAACTCGAGCTGCCCCTCCACAGAGAAGTGCTTCACGGCGAGGTGATCCTCCCAATCGTTTGTCAAACTTTTGTAGAATGATGCATACTCATCTTTTGTAATTTCTTCAGGCTTGCGCAGCCAGATTGGTTTCTGCTTGTTAATGAGTTGCCATTCGTGAGAAACCTCCTTGATCTTCTTCTTCTTCTTGGACTCGGCCTCCTTTTCCTCGTCTATCTCCTCAACGTTGCCTTCTTCCTCCTTCTTGGGTTCATCATCCTCATCGTCGCTGATCTCCTTCTCGGTAGTTTTCTCGGTCCAGAGATAAATGGGATAGCTAATGAACTCAGAGTGCTTCTTCACGAGGTCCTTAATTCTCCTCTCTTCCAAATACTCCAACTGAAAAATTTGTACATTCCTATTAGAATCACACTCAACCGCTCCAAGTTTGTTGAAATTCAATTTTCACATTTCAAATTATAAGAACAGGTCAGCGAACGAATTATATATTGAAGATTTCATTACCTGGTCCTCCTTAAGAAATAGCGTGATCTCGGTACCCCTCCCGAGTTGCTCGCCGTTAACATCCCTTGTGACGGTGAAAGAACCACCGGCCTGCGATTCCCATACGTATTGCTCATCGTCATTGTGTTTCGTGGTCACAATCACCTTTTCGGCCACAAGGTAAGCCGAATAGAACCCGACTCCGAATTGACCAATCATGCTCACGTCAGCGCCGGCCTGCAACGCCTCCATGAACTCTTTCGTCCCCGACCTTGCAATGGTTCCCAAGTTATTCACCAGATCTGGATTCAAGAAACAAGTTCAAAGCAATTAAGACCTTGTTCCCGACACCGCAACCGCATTCTCCGTGTGTCCAGAGTTCAACAGAAAGAAGCCTTACCTGCTTTAGTCATACCGACTCCGCTGTCGATGATGGAGAGAGTTTTATTGACCTTGTCCGGAACAAGTCTGATGAAAAGCTCCGGTTGAGCATCAAGTTTGCTCTTATCAGTCAGGCTCTCGTATCGAATCTTGTCCAATGCCTACAGATGATCAAAACCAAAACAGTCAATCATCAATCGATTAAGAAACAAAACAATCCACGACTCGAAATGCACAACATTACGCGACACATTCAGGATAATAGAAGGAGACACAAGAACAGAGAAGGAAGTCAATAACTCACGTCGGAGGAATTGCTGATAAGTTCTCGAAGGAAAATCTCCTTGTTGCTGTAGAAAGTATTGATGATCAAACTGAGAAGCTGATTGATTTCCGCCTGGAAGGCGAAGGTCTCAGCATCAGCCATCTGCACGTCCGCCATTAGAATGGAAAAGAACCCTGGGATTAAGCAGATGAAAAAGAAGTTACGAGAGCGCGAAGAGCTTGAAGATGAAAATATTCACAAAGATCGACTGTAACTCGAAGGTGCCCTATGTGAGAATAAATGGTCGTATTTATAGTAGAAGCTGAAGAATAAGAGAGTCTCGATCCTTCTACGTTTCTCGAGAGCTTTGATATTTCATGTTGAAATGGTTGGCATTGGAACGGCGCCGTATCGGTTACTCTTGACGGTTTGCTCGCGAACAACGACATCGAGAACGTTCTTCCGTTGTGGCGTCGTGTCTAGAATGTTCCACGAGACTTCGCACGTGCAATTTTTTTAATCATTTTTTTATCACTTATTATTAATAGTCTTTCGAATTTATAAAAATTAATGATGTATTTAGCCATTTATATTAAATAATTAAATTTTTTTGTAAGTACTAACTTATAAAACTCCAACCCTGTATAATTTTTAGAATTGTTTCAATAAACTATATGTTATCAACCATAATTAAACTCACTCCAAAACATCTATACAATGGATTGATAAATTTTAGAAAACAGAAATTGATAGAGGAGGGAAAAAAATATTCAATAGACAAGGCACAAGAAAGAAAGTATTATATAGTTGTAGAAGTGGATCAAGGTTGTAAAATTATTAAAAGTCTTGAGAACTTTGGAATTTTATTATTAACTATAATTAAAGGTGAACTTATAAATTTTATAATTATTTTTTGGAAATAAATTAACATATTTTAACTTTTCCTCGTAATTTCTTAAAAGAAAAATCGTGGTAACTCGTGACATTGTCTTGTTAGAATTATCTATTTTTATTGTTACATATATATTATTAATTGTTATTACTTCATACTTGGAGGGCAAAAATATTTAAAGTCTTTTATCCTTTTAATTGTGAGATAACTGGATGGACGGGGAGGGAAAACATATAATTAATCATAATGAAAATGAATGAGAGGGAGAAATAAAATTTTGATGCGATGGGGAGACAGTTTTTTTTTTAGTACAACTTCGGGCGGAGATCGGATTCGTTACCTTTTATTAGAGATATATGTTAATTACTGTTAAACTATGATTGCTTTGACAGGAGGGACAATTTTTCCCTCTTGAAAAAGAGGGGAGAGATTTAAAAGAGAATAATTTGTAAAGATAAACATAAAATATTTGGAATATGTGAACTACAAAATATTTGGAGAGAGATTTGTATTTAAAAGACTAAAATTACCACAGAGGCAATAAAAGGACAAAATTGACATAAAAGTTTCTCTCCCACTATGTTTCTATATAATCACATGAAAAGATAAAATATATAGTTTCATATAATTGATGTAATTACAAAATTTTAATTAAGATTAATTTCATGAAACAATTAAAATTGGTTGAATATATCAAAATAAAATAACTTAAATTACAATTTATCATTAAAAATTTAAGAGTAAAATATATTTTTGGTGTTTAAGTTGATAATCCTTCAGAAGTTTAATAATTGTTTTATACCGAATACCTTAATTGGAAATTTTCAATATATTAAAAGATAAAATTTATGTTTATTTCATTTTAAAATGTCATAATAATAAATGAATAAGAAAAAAATAACTATAAATGAATTGAAAAAAGAGGACAAAATTGAGAGAAAAAGTTTATTAAAAATAAAATAGACCGAAAAAAGTTGATTTGGAAATAGTCAAAGTGTTAGCACCTTGAAAATTGAACGTAACTCGACTGATTAAGACACTTACCTCTGAATAAAAATCGTGAGTTCCAACATAAACTACCGAATAGGAATGTCATGAGGGGCATTGAAAAATTTATACCTTAATAGTATTAGAAAGTTATCGACTCCCATTTTCGTCATTGGAGTTTTTAAAAGAGTATTTTTTTTTTGTTGATTAATCTTAAACTTTATCTTCTTTTATTACTATAAAAACTTTATTTCTTTTATTTAGAACCAAAATCTTTTCCTTTGAGAATCCCAAACATGAATACCCACAAAATTGCTCATACATGTATATATTATATATATATATATATAAATAAAGGAGAGAAGGTGAGTTGAAAAAAAAGTTCAGAAATTATCCACTTAGGAAATCTGATTTAAAATTAAATACATCTAAATCAAATAAGTTTAATTTTTTTATTTTTAATTCAAAATATGACGTTAACAAAAAATAAATTCGATTTTGTGATGTTTAATTCAAATTTGGTCCTAATTAAATATAATCTTTTTAAAAAGTTCATTTTGATCTTTAGAATCCCCAATTTATCTTTTCTTTTTTTAATTTGTTTTTGGCATATTTTAAATTTGAAATTATAATAAAACTTTATTCGAAATTCAAATTTTAATTTCTATTATTTTTAATTATTTCAAAAGAGTAAAATTAGGCTAGACCAAACGGTAATTTTTTTAAATGCTTAAATTTCTAAAAAAAAGAAAATTAAAACAAAAAACAAATAAACTATAACCTTAACAAATGATCCCACGCATTTCAAAGGAAAAGAATAACATATAGTATACCTAATCTGGAGCTTCAAGATCTTTTCCTTTTATATCTCAAAAAAAAAAAGGTCTTTTCCTTTTCCTATATTTATGGAGATTACAGTGTTTACAATTACAAAAGATACATAATAATTTGAAAAATAAAATTTATAAACTAATTTTCAAAACACAAACAATCACCCAAATTCCAAATAAACTGGTTATAGAGAGAAAAAAAAAGGAAACATATTTTCCCAAGGCGATTCAGACTTTGGACAAATGTTTAACATTTTTATTTTATTAAAAAACTATTTTATATTTATCTGTTTCGAAATTGATTAGGACAGGAAATATTAGGATTTAGGATTACGAATTCTCAGAAATTCCTAAATCCTAATCCCACTAGAAGTCCTACTCTCATGCGAATTCGGAATTCCTTCTTATTCTACGTTTCGATTTGTGTTCTCTATAAAAAGCCAAAGGCAGTAAGAGCTTCTCACTCACTTGCCTCACACTCCACGACACAAAACAAAACTCTTCCACCCACTGCCAATACCATGACCACTACCGTCTTAGAGATTCACAGCGCCGACCCGCCGGCTCCAGCTGCCGGCGATGACGAGTGCTCCATCAAGCAAGTGGATATTACAGTGCCGAAGACCGATGACCCGAACTTGCCGGTTCTCACCTTTAGAATGTGGGTCTTGGGGATTGCCTCCTGTGTCATACTCTCCTTTGTCAATCAGTTCTTTTGGTACAGATCCAACCCCTTGTCGGTTTCTTCCATTGCCGCCCAGATTGCTGTGGTTCCCATTGGCCACTTGATGGCCAAGACGCTACCGACGAGACCCCTTTTCAAGGGCACACGCTTCGAGTTCACTATGAATCCTGGACCCTTTAACATTAAGGAACATGTTCTCATTACTATTTTTGCCAATTCTGGTGCTGGCTCTGTTTACGCTACTCATATTTTGACTGCTGTTAAGCTCCTCTACAAGAGGCAGCTCACTTTCGTTCCTGCCCTGCTTATTATGCTCACCACTCAGGTTTCTTCTTTATTCCCTTTTCCAATGCCGGTTTCTCGTATCTGTTTGATTTTTCTGATGTTGATAATTTGTGTTTCTACTTGTTTCATAGATTCTTGGATTTGGCTGGGCTGGAATCTTCAGAAAATATCTGGTTGAGCCAGGAGAAATGTGGTGGCCATCTAATTTGGTTCAGGTCTCATTGTTTAGGTGACGTGTCTTCTTACCATGGTTTTAGTTGAATGAATTTTTTTATTCTTTGTATTCATATAGTTAAGTTTGCTAACTAGTGGAACTTTGGGACTTGCAGGGCACTCCACGAGAAGGAGAAGAGACCGAAACGCGGCACCACTATCACCCAATTCTTCATTTTAGCAATGATTTGCAGCTTTGCTTACTATGTTCTTCCTGGCTACCTTTTCTTTATGCTCACCTCTTTCTCTTGGGTGTGTTGGTTTAATTCCAAGTCTGTTTTGCTTCATCAACTGGGCTCTGGCACGCGCGGCCTTGGAATTGGCGCATTTGGGGTAGATTGGACCACAATTTCATCTTATCTTGGAAGTCCCTTGGCTAGTCCTTGGTTTGCCACTGCCAATATTGCTGTGGGATTCTTTCTTGTTATGTATGTGATGACACCCCTTTGCTACTGGTTCGATGTTTATGGAGCAAAGAAGTTCCCCATATATTCGAGCAGCCTTTTCATGTCCAATGGTCTCAAGTACAACATCTCGAGTATTGTGAATTCAAATTTCCATCTTGATCGAGGTGTTTACCGCACAACTGGGCCTGTAAATCTCAGTACCTTCTTTGCAATGACCTACGGACTTGGATTTGCCACACTTTCTGCTACACTTGTTCATGTCTTTCTCTTCAATGGAAGGTAAATTCTCAACCAAACTTCAAAACTAGATAGTCTAGACCTTGTTTGATAAAGAAATGATAAAACAACCAGGTGGTAATTGATTCATGATCTATACTTGCAGAGAACTGTGGAACCAGAGCAAAAGCGCCTTTGGAGGGAAGAGGAAAATGGACATACATACGAGGCTTATGAAAGCCTATAAACAAGTACCTACATGGTGGTTCCTCATCATCCTTGTGTTGAGCATTGGTCTCTCTATTTTTGCTTGTCAATATTACAATGCATCCCTTCAATTGCCTTGGTGGGGTGTTCTGCTAGCTTGTGCCATTGCCTTCTTCTTCACTCTTCCCATTGGCATCATTGCCGCTACCACAAACCAGGTAAAGTCATGGAACACTAATTAAATCAAAACTACACATCTCTTTGCTTTCAAGAGATGACTTACTCACGCTAAGTCCAAATGACTTTTTTGTTTGCAGTCACCTGGTTTGAATATTATAACAGAGTACATTATTGGCTATGCGTATCCTGAGCGCCCGGTCGCCAACATGTGTTTCAAGGTGTTCGGATATATCAGTATGACACAAGCTTTAACATTTGTGTCCGACTTTAAACTTGGTCACTACATGAAGATCCCACCCAGAACAATGTTCATGACTCAGGTAAATTTTATTTTCTATAGCTTGGTCTAAAATTATAATACCTCATGGAATGAAGTATGTTAAGTGTTTTAATGTTCGTAATGAATCAACCTTATGTGGCAGATGGTGGGAACAATCATAGCCGTGGTGGTATACATTTCAACTGCTTGGTGGCTAATGGGATCAATTCAAAACCTTTGTGACACCAACCTACTGCCATCAAACAGCCCCTGGACTTGCCCGATGGATCGCGTGTTCTTCGATGCTTCAGTCATTTGGGGGCTTGTTGGGCCTCGCAGAATCTTCGGGAATCTTGGAGAATATGGAGCTGTGAATTGGTT